TATCTATGCAATTGCGCTGGTTTTTCTCGCCAGACTCGTATACTAAAAAAAGAGGGCGCCTCGAACAAACTAGAGTTGCCAGGAAAATTCACGGTCCTTCCAGAAACTCCAGCGCGCATGCTCTCAGCATCGCGTGACTTCCGCCGTCGTAACAATACATTTGAACAGAGAAGGACTATTTATGGACTTGTGAAGCTGACGATGAAGAAGAAGCCGATAACGTTCTAATTGCAACTGCCGACAATGATTTGATTGATCCAGATGATTGACAAGCATTATTCAATTGTGGAGATGATGACGAGAGTGTTTTCATAGGATTTAAGGGCATATGATGCTTATAACTGCCCAACTTTTCTGTGTAGTGGATAAGTTTTTCTTACCTAACTAACCGTATTTGCTAAATGTCTGTTTGTACAATCATTAAATTGCAACCAATAACTTTATCTTAGCCAAAGATAATATTAATTTTTCTTGTCGTATCTTAACAACAACCATAATATCAAAATATTTTGATTTTAAAGAAATTGATGTACTCTGAGGTAAGGGTGCTAATATTACTGGTAGATAGATATGTAACATGTTTTTCTGAAAAAAAAAAATTCTATTATTAAGATAATATGTCAGTTTTCATGTTTACCTTTTTTGGCAAATAATAAATTACAATTGCTTTATTGTTGCTTGTATTTTATATCAATTGGGGTTTTATTATATGTTTTGTGGACACTTACTGAGCATGCATTTAATCCACTTGAAAGCATTACTCGTACGAAAGTCGGCCCTTAATTTATAGCCTAAAAAATCGGTCACAAAAATTCGACAAAACACGAGTATATACGGTAATAGACCTTTACAGGGGATAGAAACCCCTTAAATACACTACTTATTCTATCCTAAATTTGTAATTGCTGCCATAGATTTATTTGTATGTACATATGTTTCCCCACGTAGTACAATTTGTAAACTTTTAGACGCAATAGGAACGGTTATTTTATGCAACAGTAACCATGAGCTTTTAATTCTTCAGATTCTATCTTTCTTGACCTCCAGGACGATCGGGTAAACAAATTTATTGCTATTTGGTGTGTCATTTTAGCATAAAATGATAAGATTCTCTTTGCTTAATTACAATTTCATTATCAAGCTGTAATGGACGTGTGGTCGACTTCTCCCAGGCTAGGTTTTGAGAAACAATATTGTTACGTCTCCGTTTGTTAATTAACTTTCCGTAACTTCGTTCCGACGAAATTTTAGCGACACAAGTTCTTTACTTAATAAAAACTGGTTTATTCTTTCCGAATACAACTTTACCGATACACTCAACTTCAACAATCGCGCTAAACAAACGCTATAACAACGAACGTGCTCAATAATACTTCTGACTGCAGATCAATTACTCACTGTCTATACACACATTACCTTCCTCTCGCGTCACGTTGTCCCTTCTTATATATACCAAACTACCCTATATCTAGCAAATACTAGAGCATTCGCCAAGATACAGGAGAGTTCTAGAAACGTGGCGTCACTGTAGTCATGTGATCTCGATGACGCAACAATATTAATAAACAATAAATTAACACGTTTAAATGAAAACTTCTTCTAGTTTATTTTCTGCGTGAGCCTATTTTCTTTCTGAGCCTAATTCCATTGTTACATGGAATTAGGCTCAGAAAGAAAAAAATAAATTGTAACAAGGTCTTTACTGCCTGAAAAAGAGCGTCTGCTCGAAACGTCGCAAAAAATAAACTAGAAAAAGTTGTCATTTAGACATGTCAATTTATTCTTTATTATCATTTATTCAAATTTTTCTTCTCGCGTCTTGTGGAATAACATTCATTCAAGAAACAATATTACTGGACTTTCTCGGCGATGATTAAGTAGAAATAATACATTATTGTGTAATTCACTTTTAATAACTGAAGATTTGATCAAGATATCGATCACTAAGTAATGCTAGGTCTTGTTACTAATTTTGGTTTGAAATTAAATGGAACAACAAGACTGAACACAAAGTGAAATACAAAATAAAGAATCTCTTCTTCAACATCTAGACTTTTTAAACAGCACACAGTCCACTTGTTTTAAGATAATATAATAAAACAAGCCAAACGTATATACATATGTTCGTTACACAATTAATCACCACAGTTAAATCCAGAGCCTTAAATAATTCTCTTTTGCATCAAAAGTCCGCACACGTTGGTTCAGTTACTTTGGAATCAATTAACAAGACGAAATATTCTTCTATACTCTGCTATCACAATACAATCAGTGATAAATTCACTTATGTTACCCTGTTGGTTACCACAGTTGTATCCAGAGCTTTAAGTAATTCTCTTTTACATCAAGACTCCACCCAGGTTGGTTCAGTTATTTTAGAACCAAATTGACAAGGCGAATTATTATGCTATACTCTGTCAGTACAATACAGTGTGCGAATATTACACTTTAAAAGACGCCACTATACCCTCTAAATGGCCAAACTCACGATCACCCAATCTTTATCCATCTCTCTCTCTGTTTTTACTAAATTTTCGACACGTATATATATATATATATTAGATATCTAGGTACCATATGATGCAATAATACTCGAGAAAAGTTCAGAATCTTCGAGTAACATGACGTCAATTCACAACAATTGAACAACACATCAATTAATTCATAAACCATTACATAAGCAAAGTTGCTTAACTACCGCTTCTAAAAATAACTTACTTTAACATTTGCACTACTTAAACTAAATAATGCTCTCATATTAAACTTAAAACGAACAGTCGTGTATATCTAACAACCTCGTGATTTGACCTGAACGACCATTGAAGAACACTACTGTCCCATTAACCCACCCCCCTTACAGAGAAGGTACTGTTCACTTGAAAACAAAGGATCAAAGGCAGTTAGAAGGAATTCAACAGTTTTCTCTACCATATGTTATGTGAAACATGCACATATATACAGAAAAAAGAATAGAATCATATTAAATAGTATAATATAATTCTTATTAGGAAGGCACAATTACGTGATATATTCTTATACCACAAAAGTGTCATTTTATGGGATTTTTTTTTATTTTCTCTTGAAAAAAAAAAGGGCAAGAAGTTGTCTTATTTAAGTTTACGAGATTATTTGGAGAACCAAAGGATAATTGATGTAATTACTATTTTCCGAAAATAACAGGATGAGAGAATATTGGTTTACAATTTGTAAAAGACAGTGTAGTGGCATTGTTATTTCTCTGACAGGGGTGATTAGCTTATAGAATGAGCTGCCATTAGCAGAAGTGGAGACTGGCACATCAAAGAACTCTATAGAGAATTACCTTTTTTTTTTTTTTCGTTTTTAAGTTTGTCAGGTTTTGAATATATTTGTGAGCTGGGATTCTTCTACAGTAGGTGTCTGTGACTTGTTGACAATAAATTCGAACAGCACAGATAGCACACAATCCCCTTCTTTAAAATAATATATTCCAAACAAGTCAAACATATGCACAAAAATTCTTTACACTATAGGATATCATGGATGTAACTAAAACTCTAAATAATTCTCTTTTCTTGTTAAACACCCATACAGGCTGATTCAATTACTTTAAAATCCAATTTTCTCTACTCTTATCACATTAGTATCAATTGTATTCTGAACTTTAAATAATTGTCTCCTTTTCATCAAAGTCCACACAAATGGGTTCAATTACTTTAGAACACATTTTGACAATACATTATTCTCCTTAACTCTTTTAAACTCTGAAACTCACTTTAAAGTATCATCTGTTATGACTAAACTAACAATCATGCAGTCTAACTTCATTTTTTTCTGACTGAACTTCACTTAACTTTTGTTGGTTACTACAGTTGTATCCAGAGCTTTAAATAATCGTCTCTCTTATTTGTCAAAAGTCCACACAGGCTGGTTCAGTTACTTTATAACCCAGTTGATAAGACAAATTATTTTTCCTATCTCTGTTGTTACAATACAACTAGGAAACACACTACAGAAATCACCCATTAAGGTTAATCACGCACACACCTGCTAACTTCACGTTTTCTTTCACTAAATAATATTTTCCCGACTGAACATTACTTGACTTGCACTCACTTGGTCACCTATATTTATATAATTTCAAACTGAGGCCTCGAACTTTCTACAAACTAGGAGACGATGTGACGTAACAATACTCACATAACAAGAAAACTTAGAGGCTTCGAGAGAGATGACGTCACCAATACTACAACAATTAAACTACACACACAACATACTGTTACGACAGCGGAAGTCACGTGACTCTGGTAACACGTGATGAGTTTTTAGAAGGATATTGGAACATCACGAATAATCCAGTATTTGCTAGACGCTCTCTATTCCTGTATATAAACGCGCCAGATAATTGCAGACAGGCAGAGATAAAGACGGACAATTGAGTCAAGCGCGGTAGTGACCATAAATAAAGTGCGTGAATCGTTGTGAATTATAGCGTGTGTTGAAGTTAAAGTGATTGTGGAAATTAAGTGTATTGCAAAGTTGTATTGAGAAAGAATAAACTAGTTTTATTTAAGAAAGGACTTGTATCGCTAAAGTTTCATCCGAAAGAAATTATACAGGAAATTAACAAACGACCAGAGACGTAACAATACGACTATCACCGAGTTACGTAACGAAATTTGTTATAACTATTACTTTTAAATTAATTAACTTTTAACACTCTTGTTATGAAAACTAAGTAATCATTAAATATTAAATCAACTAAACAATAACTCTACCAATAAATAGTCTTGTATATCCAAAATATTTTAAAAATAGAGAGTCGGCTTAAGTTTTAATTTTTCTCAAGGTCCGTTGTTAGTGTGTTATTTTACGTATATTGTGATGGAATTTTTTTTGTACCATTATCTTTGCGTTATTAGACATGTAAAAATCCATTAGTATTCCATAAGCTTATCTTGTCATCTTATTACGAAATAAAGTTCTGGTACATTTTGGGGTAAAAGTCTTTTGTAACCACGAGAGAACTGGTTTGTCGTTTTTGGACGAAAAGAGCTTTGAGAGTAATTTAATCATTTGTTTAGTAGTGCTAAAAACTAGTCAAGTATTTAAAGTTATTTTAATTTCAGCATTATTTTACATGTTTTTGACAGTCGAATTACGTCAAGTTTTCTCGACAGTATAATTTAGTGATTTAAGAAAATACTTGGCCACAGATGAGGCTATTAATAGTATTAATATTATGGTTAGACTCTACTGACGTAATAAATTCAACTTAAGTTTTAATACGAGACTCGTAATGACAAAGCATAGTAAAGAGATTCACGCCAGGAAAGTCAACCCCGAAGAATATCCTCGGTCCCTAATTTAGTATTATTAAGTTGACATACTTAGATTAAGCCTAATTTACTGTGACTGTGTTTCTATATGTGCTTTATTAAAGACAGAAGGTTTCTGGACAGCGTTACATTTACAACATACACTGTATGATAGTAAAGTATGAAAATTGTTTATCTTTATTACCTTTCCTAAGCCTCGTCAAACTAAAATATGTGGAGTATGAAGCTGCAGAACTATATACACCAAACACCATCAAGACTTTCTCTTAAGCTACTCATTAAACAAATTCACAGGACTTGCTCTCAAAGTTCTATAATTAGTTGCAACAGCAAAGAATACTCTAGTTTCAAGAGGTTTAGTTCTAGTGATAGATGTTTGTATTCGTTGCAAGATCGACAGAAAGATTTAGTAAAAGGACAACTGTCTAAAAGTGAAACCTGTGATACTAAGGTTAACCTGGCAAACACTTGTAATGTTATATCTGATGTTTCTGTTGTGGATTTAAAGTATCAGATAGACTTTTTAAAGCCAAAATCAGGTAATACTATTGCTACTAGTGACTTCAATATGGATTTTCACTTCGGAAATAGCAAGTTTACAGAGATACTACCTATGTTACCTGTATCCAAGTTTCCTTCACATAAAGAAAAGTTTATGACATCAAGATTTTTAGAAGATTCTCACCATACCAAATTGGTAAAAAAAAAGTTATATGATCCAGTATTGCATTACCTTTTTACTTTTCACTTTATAAAGATTAAGTATTATATACATCAGAGCTATAGACAAGTGTTTCACTATGGGGATGCTATCCTCCTTGGAATTTACTATTTAAAGTAAGGATCAGAAACCAAAAGTTTTATTACGATGTTGGCAAACTTGTCAAAAATTTTAGGGTCATCCTCAAGCACTGTCTTGTCTATGGCCTTGCATGTGATATGATTTAGCCTTTTTGTTAATTTAGCCTAAGGCAATAATAGTTAAAATGTAATGTAGCTATATCAGGGTCTAAAGAAGTACTTAAAATGTATTTGACAAGGGTGGATGTGCAAGGACAGCAATGAAAGATCAAATGGCCCCATTTTTTGATCCTATGTTATATTTATTTTACTCTGAAAGTCTATACCGTATTCTCTAATGTGTATTAATAATATATTAATTACATGTGAGATATTGGAATGGAATAAAATGTAAAATTTGTAATCATACTTGCTAACTCTTGCTTCACGTGGCATTTTGTCAATTTCAATATCCTTCTGTTGTCTCTAGAAGGTAATAGGTAGTCATGCTGCTTTACGAAATAATTGTTTTTTATATATACAGGGGGAGCATACCCTCAGATCTCTTTGACAGGTCAGTGCCTACTCCTACCATTTTATTCCCTTCAAAAAGTTGGCACTTTAAGTACATGAAATAAATTATAACCAAGTGTGATATCTCAGTTTAAGTGCATGTAACTCTGTTTAAAGCTGTATTAAATATTTATTATTACACAGACATCTGCTAATATGTTGAAGGGCTTAGCATACATTCTCACATATTCAGCTGAATTGTTGAATTAAACAACATGTGAATGACGAAGGAGCATTTGGTCCATCAAGCAGGCTTCGTTGCACATCCACTTTATTTTTTTGGGAGATCATTGATTGCCCCCCCCCCCCTCAGGATTTTTTCATTCCATAGGGAAAGGGAACCCCCCTTTTTTTTACAAAAGTAGAAAAAAAAATGAGTGATAACATTTGGTGTTTAAAAGTTTGGTACCCTTACAACTGTATCCTTTTAGACAATGTTTGTTGAACAATCTTTGGAAATATAACCAGACCATGTTTATGGACATACTGTACCTTAGGCACTCAAATGCCATGCAACACAGAAGTCACCAAATAAAATCCTTTCTCCCAAAAAAACATTACAAAAGAAGGCCCCCTGCCCTCTTAAACTCCTGTAAAGTGCTGAACTGGATCTTAACTTGTCTTTTCCAAATCTACTTGTGTCTTCTTATCCAATTGTTTTCAGAATATAGCGCCCCCAGTGGCATGTCTGTGGACTTCTTCTGCTAGAAATCGGGTTTCAATACCCGTGGTGGGCAAAGCACAGATAGCTCTTGTGTACCTTGTGCTTAATAACAAACAACAATTCAGTTGTAAACTTAAATAAGATCTTTTATCCTCCTTTTTTCAAGATAACATAAGGTGAGAAACTAACCTATCCCAATATGGTAACCTTTCCATTCTCAGAATCATCATAGTAGCTTTCCTCTGAATCCTTTCCGATAAGTCAATAATGAGACCAAAACAATGCACGGTATTCCAAATGAGGCCTAACTAGTGATGCTTGTAGAGAGGTAATTACCTCTTCTGACTTGTAATCAGTATGTTTATAAACATAATAAAATGCTGTTTGGTTTACTACTAGCAATAGAGAACTTCTTCAACATCTTAAGTGACTTATCCAACACTGTCCCAGTATACTTTTATTCAGTTATGCTGCTAAGTGGGTTCCCATCTATATTAAGTGTGTTACCCAAAGAATGATAAGCGAGAAGCATTACCTTGTATTTGCTATACTTAAAGGTCATTTGCCAAATATTTGTCTAATGTAGTCATTCCATATGAAGCTAGGCAATTATTAGAATTTGATAATTGATTAATCATTAAGCTCATTAATTGATTATATTAAGCTAATTGATATTTCTCACATAATAATCCAAAAATTAATTTTGATTATTTGATTATTTTTATGAGTTGAAACTAATTGATTAAGCTGAATATCCTTGAACTAATCCAAAATAATAATGAGAAATTATAATAGCAATATTTTTGATTATCTGAATAGTTGGAATAATTGAAAAGAGTGACAGGGGAAACAATTTTAATTACTTGATTATTTCAATGATGTTAACTGATTTAACTAATTTTGGACAAACAGTCATTTTACTGAACACTAGTCAGTGTAATCGATGCTCGTATATAATCAATTAATCTGGTTAACTACCGAGCTATAATTCTGTAGTATGTTAACATCCTCAATACAATATTATTAGCAGAATGTATTTCTTTATTAATCCTCCTCCTATCAACAATAAATGCATTAATGATAATAACAACAAGTAACATCCTCAAAAAATGTTAAATAAGGCAAGATTTCCTATTTGTTAATCCATGTTCGCTTTCTTTTATGAAATCATATGTCAGTAAATTATTTTCAATCACAAACACTAGAATTTTTCACATACTAAGTAGCCTATCATTTCCATTGTAACTTATCATCCCCCCTTCAAAAAATTGGTATAACAAAGCAGCTCTTCACTGTTTACTGAGGAACTAGTAATGAAGGAGAAAGGCTCGCATATCTGATCAGTATTTCCTTTAAAATCCTGGGGAAAACCTTCTCTGGACCTAGTGCTTTATATGTTCTTAATATCTCAATCTAAAAGATTAATATGTATATCATTCATGTTAATTTCTCTATTTTCCTTAGAATGTTTAGGATTAGGAATATTGCAAATAACTTTTTTTTTGCAAAAAAAGACGAGAACACTTAGCAGCCCAGCCATCTTATAGTCTTCAACAAAAAAAACTTTGCAATGAATGTACTTTAATGACCCAATCTCGATTTTAGCATACTTAAATAATTTCTTGCTGTTTTCACGTTATTCGCCAGCTGTTTCTCATCAGCCATGTTTGATTTCCTGACCTCATTTTTAACCAAATCTTTACCCTTCTTATAGTTCTGTAAGTCTTCCAAGCTGTATGCCAAGTTAAACTTATGGAATTTATCCGTGATTGTCTCTAGTAAGTCAGTTAAGTTTCGATCTTCCCTTTTAGGAAGATGCCTGT